AACACGCTTTTATAGATAGCGAAACGAAAAAGAAGTAGAAAATAAAATAATAATAGTGTCTTGAGGAATATTGAACTGAAAAAATATATTATAGAAATGATTTATATAGCAAAACAACGTTTGCGAGGTCTGCTAGTTTAGGATAAATTCACCGAGTTTGTTTCGAGATGGTTTCGAGGCTTTCGAGAAACACTGCCCAGCGAGCACAAACATCCCTGGGATGTTTTGGGATGTTTTGAAAATGTTGGCATAAAGATGTTATTTTGAGACGTAATATGCACTGACCAAAGAGGTCTTTGAAGGATATTGAAGTATTGTTTTTGTTCTTCTGTGGCATTTCTTTGTTTACCTACTGGGATGTTTTGGGATGTTTCAGAAATGTATAGGCATGAGGATGTTTTTTTGAGGCGTAATATGCACTTTCCAAAGAGATCTTAGAAGGATATTGAAAGTATTGTTTTTATTCTTTTGTGCCATTTCTTTGTTTGCCCCACCACAACGTCTCATGCTTACGTCACAATACGATGAATTATGATTTGTTTTCGATTTTGTTCTTCTTGTTCGCAATTGGCATTCGCGTTTGCAGCGTGTCACGCTTACATCATGCTGCTAACGAACAGAATGGAATTTGGTGAGGTTTATTGTGTTAGAAGTCTTATTTAGTTTGTAATAATGACCCTCAGATGCAAGATGTGTTGTTCGGTGCCTCAGTGTAATCAATATATAAAAGTACGAATTTATCAATACACAGCTTCTCCGCAGTTGCAAAATTATGCATTGTGGAGAACATTTCAAAAATTGGGAAACCTATTTCCAATTATATGTCTGTGATGTGTAGTGAAACGGATTAAGAAGGTAATTTCATATCATGAAAATATTTTTATGTTCAATCTATTTTTAATGCATTTTTTCATTCAAGGGAAATGGAATCCTAATGCAAAAGTTCCTTTTGACAGAAGGCTTCAGAAAAGTACCTCGAAAATGGTTTTTTTACAGCGATTTAATGTGCGCAAGACGCGTTGAAAATATTTTGTTGTGTCCATGAAAAGGCTTTAAAAAGAACTAGGGAGAAGGTAGTTTTGTGACATATCAAGGACATCTCGATAATTGCCGCCTGCGGCGGACATTGGCTGTTCTATAATAGTTCTGTTCATGTGTGAACAGAACATCGCAGTGGAGGTTCAATGTCTCGAAATCTCGTACTTTTAACATCTCTGAGATGTTTTTGTGCTCGCTGGGTGGTACCAGGTCCCAGAATAAAGTCAACAGTTCACATCACTGACAGAAACATGAAAACGTGTCACCATATCCGTCTAGACTCTAAACTGACTTCTTCCGGCTGGACTAGAACGATTTACATTTTTCGTATCATTAGTTCATGGTCGGCAAGCTTTTTTATGTTCCATTTCTTTTCATGGGCATAACAAAGTAAGGATTTATAATAATCCTACGAGGTAAATATCGAGCGAGGTTGAATGTAGGAGGCCATTGTTCACTCAGTCAATACGAAAAGCTATCGGAGAATGTCGTTCTTATGGATGATTCCTTGAGTAAATTTTCCTGCAAAAGTTTCAGTTGGGTCAATAATATGGAGTATGTACTTCCTAGGCAGAACCATCAGAATTCTATTGGAACTTTTTATTGATCAATATCAGTGGCGGCTCGTGACTTTCATGACAGAGGAGGCTGAATGATATGAGATTTAATGTGAAAAACAACTCTCTACTCACCCAAATCAATAGCTATAATGATATTCTGTTCACCATTTAACCTGAACTCAATACTGTGATTTGCACTGTCTATCAAATCCGCGAGGCAAATTTTTCAAATCATTATATCCTAATCGCCCCCAACATGATGACTTATCGGTTGAAAATAATACGCAGTACCAACAAAATAGCTTATTCCTTACCTCAGATCCCGTCAGCCAGATATATTTTTCATAATTATCAGAATTGAACGAACGATTTTGTTTGTTACCTGTTACAATCAGATTTTTTAATTCCGGTGTCGGATGTTTGTTTTTCACAATCGATTTATCTTCATAAGACAAAGCACTGAATGGGTTCACCAAAAAGTATTCCACTAAATCGCAATCGTTCAAAACACTCATTTTTCAGAAATTTATCCATTAAAATTTAACCATTAAACTAACATAAACATAAACAATGCACTTGCGTTTGTCCGCAAATCGCGAAGCGACACGACAAACACGTGCTATTCGGGCGTATTCGGGAATTTGCATTGCCCGCGTAGGTTGCGCTCTGTGACGGAGTCTAGCCTCCTATAGATGTTGCCAAGTTGAATATTTTACGCGTGATTTGCAGACTCCAACGTGTGATGCGTGGGCAAGCACTGTTGCCAATTCAGAAATATTTAATTAAAAACCGGAAATAAAATCAAAATCCATGTTTTTTGGTGTCCTTCTCAATGAGAAAGTATAGATAATATTAGTTTAAGGAAAATCTCTGAGGAGGCTCAGCCTCCGTTACCTCTTCTGAGGAGCCGCCACTGATCAATATCGTGGGTCATCTCACGTAATGACGTATCTCATAAAAATCGGAATTTGAGATACTTCTTCAAGTGACTTATATTATTGTACTTTATGATCTCACAAAGTGGCGTAGCTCAATATTCAATGGTTTTCGTACAAATAAATATCGAATACTCAGCCTATCCCAAATTATTGGACTATACCAAAGTGACCTAACGATAGGAGTTACGTCAGTACCAGTACGTGAGATATATTTCTATTATTGAAAGGAGTATTGTAAGGTATTGTACAAATTCAATGCATTTCTGTGTTTTTGAATTTCCTATATATTCATGGGCGTATCTACAGTGTCATTCATAAAGTCGGCATCATATGGGAAAAACTTTTTATAATAATTCATTTCGAAATTCGACTTGGGCGTTTAGCTTCGCTCCTAAAAAGATGAAAAATAGCCTACTCGGTCAAAACCACGTGATTTCCGCTACATGTCAAAAGTTGAATTTTTTCAAATTTATCGCTGAAATTAGTGTTATTTGTTTTAATTTCAGAAAAGTTTGAAGGGAAAATTTGTTTATGTTCAAATTTTACACATGTCTCTCGAATCTGAACGTTCTATTGATATTTTTTGATTAATTCTAATGATTGTAACTTTGACAAAACTGTCCTAAACTTTGGTGAGATACGTAAAGTAGCTTTTGATGATAATTTTGACAGGTGACCTTGGCATCATTTTAGTACTGGAAAAATCCATTTGAATGAAGTTCGCTCCTGAATGCTAGACGATAGATCAACTTTGCATAAAACATGACAGAAATTTGAAGCAGGAATTAGTATTTTCTGAAGAAGATTATATTTCTGTCGTTTATGAGTGATTGAAAGTTAGTAGCATGATGAAGCTACTAGAATGAAACAGACATTTCGGAGAAAAGGAAAAAATATATGAAAAACTGAAAGTTGTTATGAAACTTCCGAATCAGAGATACATTCATGTAAAATTGGAATAGAAACACTTTTTCTTCGTAAACTTTTTTGAAATTCAAACAAATAAGCCTACTTTCAGCGATTAATTCGAAAAAATGTAACTTTTGACAAGTAGCGAAAGTCACGTGACCCAGAACGAGTAGTTAATTTTTCGTATTTTTCAAAACAAAACTCACCGAACAAAACGTTTTTCAAAATAAATTATCATCAAAAGGTTTTCCCATATGATGCCCACTTTATGAATGACACTGTATATGTCGGCGTCAAACAGTGAAATCCATCATTCTCTGGAAGGCCTAGTCATTTCACGTATTGTCGGCAAACAGCGTAACTCTAAATTTCGTACACCGTTGCCTAATAGTTTCAGGCATTCCCTGTAGTCAGCTTAGGTTGTTTAGAAGCAGTAGTCTCTTCAGTTATCTCAAGTAATTTTTTGAAAAATATACTTTCTATGAAGAAGGTTCATTTGGGCGGAAAAATAGTCTCCCTTCTTATGCATATGCAGGCCTCTACTTCAAAAACGTATCACCCTGTAGATTTTGCAAATATTCAAATGGCTTGAGATGATGATCTTCTAGAAACTATTGACCACATCAAATTCCAAAATGATATCTTGAAAAGTAAGTGAGGTATTTCAATTAATAGAAGAAATAATTAAACTTTGACCCCCTGTAGTTCCGCTACTGAACGAGATCAGACTAATGTTTATATGAACTTTTTTGATTAAAATGATGAGATCTTCCTTCCATTTTAGTTTTTGCCTTAAAACCTGAATCACAATGTATACAGGGTGTATCTAAATAACACCGAAAAAATTCAAGGGGTGTTTCCTTGTAATAGAGTTCATATATACAGGTGTCCTAACTTGCTCCGTTTTTGAAATACAGGATGTTGAAGTTGGAAATATCAATTGTTTTTATCAATAACCCCCTGTATAAGCTTTCATGGTAAAAAAATCAGCATATGGTTGGAGACTGAGAAAGCTCTAAAATTTCAAGATGATTGTAGTTCGGGTTATTGAGTTATCTCAATGGAAGTCTTGAAGAAAACACCTACAGTCGAATTTTTTTTTATCGCTTGGAGCGCACGAAAGGGAATCCCTATAATGTTCAAAAAACATCGTGCGTTCCTAGGGATGATAGGGACAGGAGGTAAGTATTGGAATTTTTTTTGAACTTTTGGAGATTATATGTTGTTGGAGTCAAATCGAATTTTTATTGTTTCCTCGACCGACTTGCACCAGAAGAAGCCTCATAATACTATTAACAAAACCACAACGTTCTATTCAAATTGATGAAAAGACAACTGAGTAATGAATAAGAAAAAAATGATTTTTCATGGAAATATTGATACCCTGTATCTCGAAAACGAAGCAAATTAGGACATACATATTTATATGAACTTATAGAAATATCACCCCTTGATTTTTTTCGGTGTTATTTAAATCAGCCTGAATTACTCTTCCGGAATGAAAAATTTGTTCGTGGATTAATATGCAAAATTATGAGAAAACTAAGGCACTTACCGCCAAGAATCCCATTGATTGTGTAATCTTTTTTGCCATCAGAATCGTCCCTCTGACTTCCACCTCGCAGTAATCTACTTATTGAAGATACGCTCGGCGGGTCCGTAACTCCTTCCTAACGAACAAAAAAGAGGGATTTCTTATATAGGTTAGTTTATAAAAGCTCGTCCGATTCAATAAGGATAAGGATGAATCAATTGAAAATGGGAAATAGGAAATACGATCTAGGTTCATATTTTTATACCAGGAAATGATTCTATCGAGGATTCTATCAACAGAATATGATTGGAAAAAATTGTTAAGCTGGGTTTATAGATTCAATACTAAACTGTACGAATTGAACTAACAACTATAAACTTAAAAAGTTGGATAAATCAAAACATCTATGAGGGTTTATGTTTTAACATTTACATCTGTCAATTGAATTATGAATTATGAATTACACAGTTGGCCAACTTTCAACTTAACAACTAAGAATATACAGGGTGATTCACATAAGAACCGACATAGAGCAGGGGCATGTAGGGGGTCCCAATATATGGCAATTTAACGCAACTTACCTCTATACCAAGTTGCTTCCCTAAGGAGTTATAGGCTTTGGAAGTGAAGTTATAAATTTTGAAAAAAATCAATATCTCCGTTATTCTTGAACTTGAAGCAACCAAAGTTGGTACACTTTGTGGATCTATTCAGGGCGTTACTTGACAGTAACTAGAGTTCGATAGAAATTTTTAAAGGGGGTATACCGGGTGGCGCACCATTAATATTCAACATAATTTTGTTAACCCTTGATGGATTTCAAGAATCTTCGCTTTGTTTTGTGGGAAATTCAATTCTAAAACTTTTCTTAGTCTAGTAATTTCTCGAAAAACCTCATCATTTTCATCAAAAACTCGAATAATAGAAAACGCGTGCTCTAGGTGTGTTATTTAAAATCATCGAAAATTCAAAAGTTGGCTATGAAAATAAACGTCAAACTTGACAATTAAGCAAGTAAGTTGTTCAAATAAGTATTTTATCGATAAGCAATTGTTTGTTCTGGTTGTTGTTTGAGTTTTTTGTGTTTATTTTGGTTAGTTGTTAATCCCAGTTTTTCACATTTCAGTATCTGTCCTTACTTTACGTATTTGTTACGTATCCAAATAATAATTTGCCAGCCAATTTCTACTGATCACAATAAATTACCTACTTTCTTGTTGTACGTTTATTTTCATAGCCAACTCTTGAATTTTCAATGATTTCAAATAACACACCTAGAGTGCGCGATTTCAGTTATTCGAGTTTTTGATGAAAATGATGAGGTTTTTTGAAAAATTACTGGACTGAAAAAAGTTTAAACAAAGCGAAGATTCTTGAAATCCATCAAGGGTTAACAAAATTATGTTGAATATTAATGGTGCGCCACCCGGTATACCACCTTTGAAAATTTCTATCGAACTCTAGTTACTGTCAAGTAACGCCCTAAATAGATCCACAAAGTGTACCAACTTTGGTTGCTTTAAGTTCAAGAATAACGGAGATATTGATTTTTTTCAAAATTTATAACCTCACTTTCAAAGCCTATAACTCCTTAGGGAAGCAACTTGGTATAGAGGTAAGTTGCGTTAAATTGCCATATTTTGGGACCTCCTACATGCCCCTGCTCTATGTCGGTTCTTATGTGAATCACCCTGTATAATATATATAATAAGAAATAAGGTAGGAATTGGTGATCTTCTTGAATTTCTGGAGGTTATATGCCTCGGGGAACACCTCCCTTGGCAATGTGTTCCAGAGTCTCGCTACCAAGGGAGGCACAATTGTTGATATTTTAGAAGAGCATCGTCCATAGAAATATCTATAAAATAGAGCCAGATCGCCAACTTTTCTACGGTGTTCCAGAAAAGTGAGTGAGTTTGTGAGCGAGGCATCTCCCACGAGACGAATTGCTCTTTTCTGGACAGAATCCAACAGTTTCAGGGTATGTTTGGGTGCTGCACTCCAAATATGGGAACAGTATTCCAACACAGGTCGGATCTGTGCCTTATCGATCATAAGCAGTTGACTGGAAGTGAAATAGCTCCTGGCCCGAAACAGAAAACCAAGTTTTTGGGATGCACTTTTAGTAATTATTGATCTCACGCGATTTTCCCAAAAAAGATTATTGCTGATAGTAATACCCAAGCATCGAAATGGATGTCTTCAAAGGTATGTTTACTCCTGACAAGCTTATGTTGGACACAGTGAGATCGGCTTTTCTAGAGGAAAGGCAAGCTTGTGTTTTGTTTGCATTGAAATCTACCAAGATATTGGATCCCCATTCGAGAATTGTATAAACACCCTCATGATTATCAATTGCTGATTAATTGTTAATTCCTAATTGTTAGTTCAATTGAATCTATAATCCCAGCGAAAAAAGTAATAATGATTATAGGGTCGATAATATTATGATCATGATATTAACTTCAAGTAGCTTTTTCACTATACCCGCGTTGTGAGAGATTTTTTCAACATAGTGTCTTGAGATCAAGACGAGACCTTGAAATTTTCAAGAAGTTTGCGGCCCTTACAATAACACAATTGGAAAAATGCCAAAAATCATTGCAGAATATCCAAAATTACCAAATCCTGACACTTTTACAGGAGATTCTTTTCGGCGTTGTATAGTGTGTCCTATTAATCAAATAGAGGCTACTACATCCTCAGCAGTTGCTATACAGGGTGTTTTTTATATATTGCGACAAAATTCAGGAACGTGTTCTTTGGACAAAAATTCGCAAACAAGTTCCTATAAACATAGGTCCTAAACCTTTTAGATTTTGTGCTACAGGGTGGTAAAGTTTTAACAAAAAAATGATTTTTTTTCGATAACTTAAATACCCCTGTAGATATTTGTCTAAAGATTGGTATGCAGGGTCTGTGTATCCAGAGCCATTTACCAACATACTTTTAACATTTTTATGTTCTCCAGTGGCGTGTGTGCGGGTTTTCCGCTGAATACTTTTATAAAGAAAAATGGTACGCCACTGGTTTTTCTCGTATTGAAAAATATTTTTAAATTCCCCGTTTTATTTGAAACATTTTCGATCCCTTGGACTTTGTCCGTTAGATGCACGGTTCTCGCACAAAAAATTAAAAAACATCTACTTTGACTGATCGCTAAAATTTATTTTTTCTATGATCGTTATAAAAAGTAAGTTTTTTTTTAAATTTTATTTAAAATTTCATTGTAGTTCATAATATGTCACTTTCTTTAACATGTTCAAAAAGTGAAATATGAGTAACGTGTTAATATTTCACGCTTCCAAAATCGCGAAGTAGCCTGTGAACATAATTTTTTTTAACGTAACTACGGACAACGCCGCCGCAACGATAATCACATTCTTGTTTAAGACGTCAAAATTAATGTCAAAGTAAATAATTTAAGTACAAGTTGACAAGATTAATTTGTTGAAAAAATGGCTAACAATTACACAAATAATGAAATGTGCGATATGCACTTCATTTATGGACTGGCTAACGGAAACGCAGCCTTGCGTATTTATGCTGAACGTTACCCGAATCGTGTTATTCCTCATCACCTCCATGTTTACGCGTTTACACCAACGTCTAAGTGAAACCGGCAGCTTTAAAAAACTCACCGCTGAAAACGGACATCCCCGAACAGTTACTCCTCAAATTGAAGAACAGGTGCTCAATCAATTCGAGGAAGATCCCACCACAAGCACTAGGAAAATTGCTCAGACGGTACACATTAGTAACTTTACAGTTTGGAATATTCTTAAAAGAAACCTTTTATACCCGTATCATATTCAGCGGGTGCAGGCACTTTTGCCAGGCGATTCTCCGAAAAGAACGGCTTTGTGTCGTTGGATGCAAGAACGCATAAGGCAAGATGCACCGTTTATAAGAAAAATACTTTTCACCGATGAGGCTAATTTCTCCAGGGACGCAATTATGAACTTCCACAATAACCACATATGGCATTATGAGAACCCACATGCTGTGGCAGAAAACCGTCATCAGCACCAGTTTTCACTTAATGTATGGGTCGGCATTATTGAAAACTTTCTCATCGGTCCATTTTTTTTACCAGCAAGGTTGACTGGACAAGTGTATCAAGAATTTCTTGAAAATGAATTACCAGTGATGCTAGAAGATGTCCCCATTCAGCTGAGACAGCAAATGTTTTTTTACATGACGGTGCTCCAGCCCATTTTAGTTTAGTGGCTCGGCAGTATTTGGATATTACGTATCCAAATCGTTGGATAGGTCGGGAAGGTATTAACCCTTGGCCCCCACGGTCTCCCGACTTAAATCCGCTGGATTTTTTTTGTGGGGACACCTTAAATCACTGGTTTATAGAAATCCAATTGATAATGTGGAGGAATTGCGTAATGGCGTAATCCTATTATAACGTCTTGTGACATAATTCGGCAGACACCAGGAATTTTTGAACGTGTCCACCAGTCAATGCGACGTCGATTAGATGCTTGTATAGATGTTGGAGGAGCACACTTTGAACAACTTTTGTAAAAATAATAATATTACTTAAATAAATAATAAAAAATGAAATATTTTTTATCACTTAAATACTTGTATTTTAAATTAAAGATTGTAGAAGCAAAAGTTTTAAATCCTCAATTACAATTTTATTGAATTGGGTTGGCTTTTGTACTAAATTAATTAATAAAATTTAAAAAAAAAACTTACTTTTTATAACGATCATAGAAAAAATAAATTTTAGCGATCAGTCAAAGTAGATGTTTTTTAATTTTTTGTGCGAAAACCGTGCATCTAACGGACAAAGTCCAAGGGATCAAAAATGTTGCAAATAAAACGGGGAATTTAAAAATATTTTTTAATACAAGAAAAATCAGTGGCGTACCATTTTTCTTTATAAAAGTATTCAGCGGAAAACCCGCACACACGCCACTGGAGAACATAAAAATGTTAAAAGTATGTTGGTAAATGGCTCTGGATACACAGACCCTGCATACCAATCTTTGGACAAATATCTACAGGGGTATTTAAGTTATCGAAAAAAAATCATTTTTTTGTTAAAACTTTACCACCCTGTAGCTCAAAATCTAAAAGGTTTAGGACCTATGTTTATAGGAACTTTTTTGCGAATTT